ATTTACAACTAACTTGAAAATTACGCTTTATCGATCCAAATCGATTCAGAATTGTCAGCAAAAAATCATTGACCTAAAACCTACATAGGTTGTTGGCTTTAAGCTTTTTTGCTGATTCTGAGTGCATTTGCTTTATTTGATATAACATCCGAATTGCGCAACTAAATTGGGACATTATTAGTCAATGAACTTTGGTTAATTCGTATTGGAATAATAATGTTATAAAGGGTGATATTTTTTGGCTTGACAATATATCACTGTTCAAATTCAACTAGATCTACGTCTGATACGTCTGTTTTACTTTTACACCACTGGACTAGAGCAGATTTGATTCAAGTCTTGACACTTGACGAAAAATTCTGATACCATAGTAGGTAACGTCCACAGTTGGCAGATTATGTGAATCGGCCTTTTGAAAACCTTCCATTTTAGCCATCGTACCTTTTCTACCCTAATTTCGATAAACCCTAACACAGAGATCGACACGAAGGAGATAGTAGCACTATCAAAATACTTGTTAAACGTTAAACAGACTCTCTCGTTAAATTAAAACCTAACCATAATAATAACATTGATATTATTATTAATATTCTTTTTCTCCGAATGACAGTAAAAGCGGCCTTTTAATGACACTTGACAGGATCAAAACTTGTATTTTTACTGCCTAGGCAGTAAAAGTGGACTTTTACTTACACTCAATTTGGTATTTGAAATTGATGGTGACAATGACAATTGTCAAAATCATTTATTTATTTGGATAATGATAATGAATGAAATAAATATAAAAACGATGTCCATGAACGAATTTGAACATTCGGAGAAAAAATTATATGTTTTACATGGGAGAAAAGCAGATTTAATGCCTCTGCTGCCTCTGCTGGTTTCCTAGCCATGGATATGAAACACCAGCCGCGGCATTAAATCTTGTACTTTTCTGCCTAGTAAAACAAATAACTATTATTGCCAACAAAAATCGCAAAAGCAGCGTCACAAAAAGCTGATCCAAGCAAGTAAAAAGTAGCGCCACTATACTTGCGCGCGCTAACTCGTTACGCATTGTGACGTCAGAGAGCGTTTGGTGCGTTTGAACGAATATTAATATTTCTTCTCCGTTTTTCTCATAGAACAATTTTTCTGATTTTCTAAAAATTTTGTAGATTTACTTATGACACGATGCTTAATAATTTAAAGATTGTTAGATGGGATTTTTTTATTTTGTGAATATCCGTATTACCTCTGAAATACTTCGAAGTACCTAGAAATACCGTGAAGTACCTCGAAATACCAGGTATTTCCGTCGAAGTACGCGAAATCCCATAGAATTACCGTCGAAGTACCCGAAATTCCCTCGAATTACCGCGCGAAGTCCCGCAATACTTCTGAAAAAATTCTCCTCGTTTATAACGATTCTTCTTGTGGATTGCAGTGAAGAATTTTTGCTCAAAATTTTGCGTCTTTTGATATGATGGATTTTATTCGGACACACAAACAACAATTAAATCAATAGTTCCGGGAATGAAGATAAAAAAAGGTATAGGAATATCAGATATTTTCAACAGAATGCATGTAAAAAAGTGCAACTTCAAAAATGACAAAAATCATACAAAAAACAGGCTGTTCCATTTAAAAAACTGCTCATCCATGGTGTAACTCTTTGGTTTTTAGTTCAAATTATTTTTTGATACCATTTTTGAGTTCTCCAGAAAAAAATGTTCCAATTGGCTATTTTCAATTTTCTCAAAAATACAGGAATAGTCAAAAATAATCCCCTGTCAACCCCTGTTCAGTCCTCGTTGGATGAACGATGACCTTTTACTATTAACAACTAACTGACACTGATTACCTACTTATACATATCAGGTAGTATATCTTCCCATTTGTTTCAATTAATCTGTAGTGAATCCAAATTATGTCAACATATTCAGCCCTCGATTTAGCCTGTTCGAAGATGGACTATAATTTTTATTCTATAATGTTTCAATTTTGGGTGATAAAGTATTAGTTATTCTCGGTACATAAAAAAAATACTAATAATTTTAAATAGCGCGGAATACCTCGGCTTACCGCGAAATACTTCGAATTACCCCAAAATACTTCGAATTACCTGCAAATACTTTGTAGTATTCGGCAATACCACAAAAAACTAGGTTCGAATTACCACCACCGAAATACTTTGAATTTCGCGAAATACTTGCGAAATACCGACATCTTCGCAATATGTGTAGCTTCTACTCCTAAAACAACAATATAATGTACTATTCTGGCATATGATTTTTTCTTTTCAATCCCTAGGTGGCCCTCATGTAAAAGTTTGATCATTTCTAATTTTAGGCTACAAGGAACAATTAACTTATTCTCTCCAGAAATAACAAATTTTCAGATACAAACAATTTTTCTCTCAGCTTCTAAAAATGCCTAACATTTCCTGGAACTTTGTACTTCTGAAGTGGCCAACCATTATTAATAAGGTTCATGACAGTATTGAGCTTTGGGTCTTTAAAGGGGGTGTGACCCTTAAAAACGACTTATGCTACTTAAATCAAGAAACAAATTCTAAGATATCTTGTGAAAATTCCTTGTGAAGATAAATTATACAGGAACTTGTTACAAAACCGTCGAAATCGCAGTCTTCTGTTTGTTCAGTCGTTAGTGAACCGTACCTAGATATACTTTGAGTGGTTGCAATTCGCTCTAGTGAAATAATTGTCTTTTGTTATGGAAAATTCTTACACGTGTTAATACTGTCTGATAATCCAGTGTGATGTTACAAACACCTAGTTGTAACTTTAAACTGCCCTAACTCGAAAATGGACCATCATAGCAAGATGCGGTTTAAATATTAATATCCGACTGGTATATTATTCGAGAAATAATGACATTAAATATGTCAAAGTTAGTTAAATACGAAATAATTCCCTAGGGCGTTATTCTTAAATTTAAGTCAACATACGCCATTGACCTCAAGCGTTAATATCCTTATAATAAATAAATAAATAAATAAATAAATAAATAAATAAATAGTCTTTATTTCCAATAGGTACTTAAACCCACTTACAGGAAATTCTATAAATATAAATAATAAATAGATTGGTAGTAAATAACATAAACAGTAATTACAAATTGAAGTTAATTTTAAGAAAAAATAAAAATAAAATAAAATAATAAAAAAGAATGAGAAAAAAAGTGATAATGCAATAATGGCAAAACACTAATCACAATTATAATAAATTAAAATACTAATTATAACAATAGCAATATCAGTAAAAGCGTCATTGGGAATACTAACAAAAACAACAGCGACCACAATAATATAAGCAGCAGCACCATTAGCCATAATAACATCATTAGAAGCAAAAAGCAATCACTCTACATGTAAGAGAGACTCAATATACTATTCAGCGTGTCAGCATGTATATCACATTGATGAGACAGTGAATTGAAGACTGTACACATGAAATATAGCGGACACTGCACCTAATAACTATTATTCTTAGATTCTTTTGCACTAAAACTTTCATTTTTGGGTCGCACTTCCTTATCCGAGCGGCATTGTCGACATTATAATTAGTGGTTTTTTTAACTTGTTGCATATTCAAAATTCAAATGTAGTCCCAAATAATTACAATATTGTTACCTAACATTACTCTCAGGGTCCCACAAGGCTTAATCCTAGGCCCCATAATCTTTTTGATCTTTGTTAATGACCTCTCAATGTGTGCGGAAGAAAGTAAAGATGCTTCTTGTTGATGGGGCTTACTACACGTTGACTGAATTCTACTGTGATATTTTTTGATTTTTTTTCAATTGTTGAAAGTATGAAAATATGTATTGTTTTTAATGTGTTCATTTTTATTTTTATTGGTGTGTTCCTCTATTGTCTAATTATATTGTTTCATTTTAAAAAATAGATTATACCTGTGTTATCATTTGTTTAGCTTTAGTTTAGTATGTAAAAATTGTAGTTTCCTTTATTATATTTATTTTTATTTATATTTATATTTATATTTATATTTTAACAGCTTTGTCAATAAGATACTTTTGTCTTGGATAATAAAGCATATTTTGAATTGAATTGAATTGTGACCCTGGGGCAAAGTTTGGTCAGTAGGCTGATGACACAATCGCCAAGAGCAGCAAAAAAAATCTTGAAGAGGCTGAGGAGGGAGCGCTGGAGACAGAGTTGAGGGCTAAACGCTTAACTATGGTTTGATTCAAATAAACTATCACTAAATGTGAATAAAACCCAAAGAATGATATTCTCCCGCAGAGACACCCGTGGCAGGGACAATAAGGAAAGTGTAAAACTCTTAGGCATCCAAGGCTGATAGGATGTTCAGACTGAAGTAGTATGCAAGAAGCTGAGAAGCAGCGTTTTTCTCTTGAGAAACCTAGCAGGCTCTGTCTCGCTTGACACCCTAAAAACAGCCTACTATGCGCTTTTCCACTCCACCATGACCTACAGTATAATAGCATGAGGTAAAGCTAGCTCTGCAAGGAGAGTTTTTGCACTACGAAGAAAAGCAATAAGAATACTGGCAGGTCTGGGGTATCGTGAGGAATGCAAGATGGCATTCTTAGAACTGAACATTCTCACTTTTCCCTCAGCTTTTATCCTTGAAAACCTCATCTATGTCAGAGGTAATAGAAGTAATTTTGACATCATGACATACATGACTATCCCACACGTTATGGAGGGGACTTAAGTCTGACTTTTTGCCGCTTGACAAAATCGCAATGCAGGCCTGAATATACAGCTGTTAGGCTTTTCCTCGGGCTTTTCAACAAATTGCCAGTGAGTGTCAGGGAACTTCCACCAAAACCTTTTAGGGAAAGAGTAAAAAAAATCTTGATTGAAAATAGTTATATTACAATACAATTTTCAACTTCATGGCCTAAAACGCACAAAAATTACTGACAGAAATGTCTATAACAAAAATAACATTATAGAAGTAAAGAAATTGTGTAGGAAAGGAAAACCTCTTACCTGTAGAAGACAGAATCACAAAGAAAGAAACCAGAAACCTTGTATTTGTATGAAACGTTTTATTATGCCTTAAACCTATAGAAAATTCACAAGCTATTATATTATTTTGTATACATATTTATGTGCTCAAAAACCAACTATACTGTCACGTTATCAACACTTTCAGTAGTAGTCTGTAAGTAACCTGTGTCTGTTGTCACTTCAGTAGTTGTCTCAGTTAAATCAGAATATTCATAATCAGCATTTGTCCCAGTTAAACTATTGTCTTCATTAAATCGTATCCTCGTTTTGCCAGTGGGACGTCTTTTTTTCAATTTTCTTTTATTTGCATTACCGGTAGTTGTTGAAGTGCAGTTATCATCACTGCTAGCCCGAATATCAATTAGATTTGACCAAGAAGGAGGACATTTTTTCTTCGTTTCAATTGTCGGTTGTTTACTGTCGTTGGTTGGTAAAGGTGTCGGGGGAGTACCAAAAATTTCTAGAATAGTTTTGTTCAATTGCGGATTGTTAAGAAGTTCAGCTTTTGTACGACAGCCTTTGTCGCCAGCTCTGATGTCTATCAAATCATTATAGTCTTGTGTGCAAATGGTTTCTGTATATTGGCTTGATTGGGTAGTGGTTTCAGATGTATTATCAAGAAAAATGTCAGTGATGTTATTATTGTTAATTTTTGCTTTTAATTTTTTGACGATTTTTTTAAGTTCAACTAACGATTCGGTAATTTTGTGTGATTGATTATTGAGTCCATCAATTAAAAGCTTATCAGTCAAGTTTTTCGTTTCAGTTATGAATTTTTCATGTGCGGCAATACTTTTGACGAAATTATTTTCCATTTGGCTTAATTTGATATCCACGTTTGAGTTGCTTGCATTCGTGAGCAGAATTAAATTGGAGATGTTGACTGATATGTCGTAAAGCAGGCTCTAAAACGGACATGAAATTATTATTTGAATATGTTGATATTATTTAGGATGAAAATATTACCTCAGTTATATTACCATTATCCAATTTCGGTAAAACATCTTGCACAAATGTAAACAAGGAGTTTATGTAAAATTTAATTTCTTCGACAGCTTTTTCCATAAGGTCATTTACTCTTGTAGTTTTTTCAAAAAGTGATATGATGTTTGTGTTTGCTTGATTCAAATTTCTATTCAATCTCGAGTCATGATTTTTTACGGTTTTTTCCAAGGCTTTCAAGTCTTTCATCACAGTAGTCATTCTATAATGCGAAATAATTTGTTGTGGTTCAGTTAAAATGTTTTCACAAATAATCATACACACTTAGTTGCTTACTTTGTCTCTAGCATATCGATCAGTTTTCCCAACATAACACTAATTTCTGATTCAATTTGAGATTCATCCATTTGTACACGATGACAGCTTTCAAGGAATAACTCTTGATTGGTTATAATTTTGTCTAGGCTTATGTTAACGCTCTTTTGCAAGGACTCTAATGATAGTTTATCTGGAAGATTTTGGTACAAAGTAAAATTTTTGTGTAAGTATTGTTCTAACAACAAACCGTTATTCAATTTTCCATTACCAGGCAATTTACCAATTTGCAGCATTAACGCTCTCACTCCATTTTGTACTTCTGTTCTGGTGGATTTGGTCATATTTTCAATAACTTTGAGACTTTCTTCAACAATGTCATTTCTTTTCCAAATATCCACGTTCATATCAGCCACCTAAAATATGACAAATTAATGATTAATGTTTATTTTCTGTTGAAATTAATTGTTTACAGTGGCTTACTATTTAAGCCATTTCACATTGTTTGTTAACTTACTTTATTAGCATAAGCATTAAAATCCTTTTTTAGTTCCATCTTCAACGAATTTAAATCTGTATTCGTTTTCTCGGTTATATTCACATATTTTGATGTATTATCTTCCAATAAATCGAATCTATTTGAGAATGTTTCATTGAAATTGTTCATAAAGTTAAAGATACTCATGTTAATTGATTGAGCATCTCCACGGGAACCAGAGTCCTGAAAAAAATCATGACCAACTTTTCATAAAGCAATTTCTACAAAGTAAAATTACCCATATTCTTACCCGTAACATATCAGTCATATTCAAAAGGAAAATCTCTGTGTTGGCTGTTGAACTTTTGTAATCCTCAAGAATAGATATAGTTTCGGACAATTCCGATTCTATATCTGTATTTCTTTGTACCATGTCTTCTTCCATTCTTTCCAACCTTTGTAAAGTTAAATCCACCTTGCTCTAAATATACAACAAACATTTTGGAAATGTTTACATGTCACTTTTCTTTAATATTATAATTTGAAAATAAAGTTAGACTCTTGAACTTGCTAAACATGTTAAACCAAGCTTGATTTTTTCTGCGAAACAACACACCAGCAAAGTTGCTAGATGGAAAATGGCCCATAGCAAAACTTCAGGTGTATGTTTTTTTTTAATCATTTTTGACAACTATGATTTTTCCCTAGTTAGATTGTTTCGAATATGGAAACTATTACCTGTATTTTATCAAACACCAATTCAAACTTCCTATCCACATAACTAACTCTGTGACTTATACCGTCGTAAATATTATCCAGTTTTCTATAAGTTTGAGTTCGTGAAACGTCATCTTTGTAATTTTTTGTGCTGATATTTTCTGAAATTTTATCCAAGTTCATCATAACCAGGGATTCGAGACGTATGATCCTCGTGTCCAACGCTTCCAGTTTTCGATGATACTGATCCAGTTTGGTTTCGAGTGTTTCGGATAGTTGCATGGAATAGATGTTGTCTAGATTATGGAGGCGTTCTTCAATTGCTGTCAGTACGGTTTGGAAAGTCTAAAAAAAATTATAATAATTTAGTCAAGAATTTTGTGGGACAATAGTTTTAGAGAGCAAACACAATCACATTGAAATTTAATAAAAACACTTCAATTTCGGTTTGATTTTGTTTCTTTACAAATGGTTTGAAACTTATGTTCAATTGAGACGGGTTGGAGGATAATTTTATTAAAGTTTAAAATTGAAAGCCAAGATTCTTTTACACAATTAATGTTGATTTTCTTGGAGTAAAATAGACAGATTTATTTAAATCAGAAAAATTTCAGAAAATGTTATTATTCTTCCATTGACCATTAGTGTTATTAGTGCATATTCTAAAAATGTCTTGAGGACTGAGAGTCTCCAAAACTGAGCTGAACAACGTATTAACTTCCGACTCCTCGTTTACCATTTCATAGGTTACCGCTGCCAACTCTAGTAGGACTACCTTGTTTAAAAAGTAACTTTTGGCAAATAAAGAAAAACGGGCTTAAATAATAATAAACCTAGATGATCTTGAAGTGATAAATACAGACATACTAATTTCCATCAGAACTCTCAAAAGCGATTTAGAAGCATACAGTGGGTAATCAAAAGGATAAAAGTGTTCAGAGTGATTAGTTGCGAAATGCAACTAATAAACAAAAATCGACGAATTTTGATAAAACAGAGAAATTACATGGTAAGCCTAGAATTCTCATTATTGGAGATAGTACTATTGCTGATGATTTGAATAAGATATTAAAAATGCAAACCTCATACAGAAACATACCAAATCACCTCAAAAACACAACGCTCATATAGAACATATTACTGAAGACATTCAAAATCTCAGCAAAAAAATTAGTAAAACAGACTTTGTTATTGTGAGTGGGGGCCTAAGAAACGCACTAACCATTAGCATTAGTATGAGAAGCTGTGCTAGACCGTTTAGTGCAGATAAGTGTATACACAAACCTCATAGTACTATCATAGAGTAGTTTTGAATAAATTCAGCGACGGTATTATTATTAGACTGTATACATTGCTTGGAGAATTAGGTAATCATACTAAGTTTACTATAGTGGTTTGTGCAATGATCAAATACAGTTCAATTTCTTGCTTTGAATGGTACTAATATAATGTTTACTCATTTTTAATCTCTTCCTACATCTTTTTTCGACCTGGCAACCTGCTACAGAAATATACTGCAAAAACACTAATTGCTGAGCATAGTATGTATGTATGTATGTGTGTGTTGCACTGCGACCAAGGTTGATCTATTGTACCCCTCCTTCTGCTGCTAAGTTCGGGTTTCCTGCTTAAAGCAGCCTCTCTAGTCCCAGGTCCTTTAGGAATTTTAGGATGTCTAGCGGTTCCAGGGCTGGAATGTCTTCCAGCTGTATAAGGGGACTTCCCAAGTTCTTCATTCTTGAGCGGCTTACGGCATCGCAGTTCAGTAGAAGATGGTGAGGTGTTTCTTCACCGTCTTCACAGAATCTGCAGGTGTTACCTTCTTCCAACCCCAGATTATGTAGGTGCTTATTCAGTCTGCAATGTCCCGAGAGAAACCCGGTTAGAGTTTTGAGACTTTTCTTGCTAAGGTTGACCAGCAGTTCCGATCTTTTTTGGTTGTAGCTGCCCAATAGATCTTTGGCCTGTCGTAGTCCTGGTTGGTCTAGCCATTGTTTGTTCCTTAGCCGGTTCTCTTCCTTTTTGAGGATTTCTTGGAGGTGCGCATTTCCGACGCCGCAGAATGGTTCTGGCCCAGTGAAGGGAGTGACCGCTCCCGTTTTTGCAAGTTCGTCTGCGCATTCATTGCCCTCGACTCCTATGTGTCCAGGAACCCATAGTAGGGTTACTTTGTTTTCCTTCCCCAGCTCATTGAGTTTCTGTAGACATTCCCATACTATCTTAGAATTGATTATCGGCGAGCTCAATGCTTTGATAGCTGCTTGGCTGTCAGACATTATTACAATTTCTCGTTTCCGGTACCTTCTGTTCAGGTTGAACTGCACGCATTTTCCTATCGCATGAAGTTCGGCTTGGAATATGCTTGGTGATTTGCCCATTGGCTCCGAGTATCTGGTTCGTGGCCCGAATACTCCGGCTCTTGTCCCCTCAGCAGTTTTGGAGCCGTCTGTGTACCATTTGAAGGTGTTTGCCTTAAGGGACTGGATACATTCTATGTTCCATCTGTTCTTTGTACTTAGTTCGATGGAAAAGTTTTTCTCGAAACTAAATTTATCAACAATCGCGTCTTTTGGTAAGTCCATGAGGTGTGCACAGTTTGGGAGAGGGAAAGCTCTGCCAAAGTGCTTTTCCCCTTGTAGACTTATCTTCGCCAGTCTTAGATATGATTCACTGGCAACCCGCTTCACTGTTGTGTGAAGTGGTGTTAGGTCTAGGATGACTTCCATTGCCGCGGTTGGGCATGTTCTCATTGGTCCTGTTATGCATAGACATGCGAGTCTTTGTACCTTTCCTAGGGTTTTCCTAGCCGTTACTAGCTGGGTTCGGCTGTACCAGGCAACCGCTCCATAGGTGATGATAGGTCTCACTATCATGGTATACATCCATCGTAGGATCGATGGGTTACAACCCCACGTTTTGCCCGCAATGTTTTTACATACCATGAGTGCCGAAATTGCTTTGTTTGTTATGTTCTCTATGTGTCGGTTCCAAAGGAGTTTAGAGTCTAGGGTTATTCCTAGGAATTTAACTTCTTGTTTCCAGTGAAGCCTGTTTCCATCAAGGCGAATGTTCCTCAGGTATGGGAGTTTCCTTCTTTTTGTAAATGTTACCAGTGTGGTTTTTGATGAGTTAAGGCTCAGTCCCACAGTCTGACACCATTCCTTCGTGGTTTGGAGTGCTTTTTCTATAAGGTCACAGAGTGTTCCTTCGTGTTTGCCTCTGGCTATGATGACAATATCATCGGCGTAGCCAAGGCAGTTGAAGCCCTGGTCTGTCAGTGTATTTAGTAGATCATCGACTACTAGACTCCACATCAAGGGTGAGAGTACCCCTCCCTGTGGACATCCTCTCATTGTGGTGACCTGTATGGTTTGTTCCCCCACATCCGTTTCTGCAGTTCTGGTGGCTAACGCTGATGAGCATAGAATAAGTTACTTAGTTTGTATCGAGCATTTCATACATCTGTCAAAACTGACATTCCAACAATAAACTGACATGTTTTGATTGTTGATTTGAACCAATGAGATTGGAATTACGCGATAATTTGCAAATTATCAGTAGTAATAGCCCAAGGACATTGATAATTGCCCGAAAAAATTTTATAACAGATTTCGAAGGCTTGTTGGTTGAAAACAGACCGACGCATTAGTGGAGGTCGGATTTTTTAACCAACAAGCTTGAGAAAGTTGTTATTAAATTCTTGAACATTTATCATAACGAGGGTTATTCGGATAGAATTTTTTTTGACAGCAATGTCTGAGACAATGTCACAGGGTGAAAACAACCCTAGGGCTGTTTTCAGTATAATGTTGACATGCTTGGATAATTTGTGTCACGACAATAAATGACAAAATTCAACTGGCTGGTAGAACTGTCAAAAAATGTCACGATAATTGCACACTTACTGGTGTTTTGACAAAAAATTTAAATTTTTTATTCATGAAATTCTCATGAAATACAACTCGTACAATGGAAATATATTTTTAATTTTTGACAAATTTGCACTCGTTCGTTTTAAACTGAAAAAGGCACTCGTGCTCTATGTACACTAAAACTGCATTTGGGCCAATTCACCAAAAATTATCGATAATTTCCATTGCATTCGTTATATTACTATTGAATTTTTTTTTAGTGTATCAGAAAACAACTTACTTAACTAGGTAACTTAGGTAATATTTTATTCATTCATTCCCTTTTTTGATCCACATATCCAATCGTCGCGTGAAATGTTGGATGATTTGCTTATTCTGTTGAACGATTTAAAGCAGATCGCAAATTTTGTACTACTTACCAGGGCCGGTTCTAGCTCTTTGGACGCCCTCGTGCAAGATCTTTTTTTGCCGCCCCCCCATGAGGAACTTTTTGTTTCGAGGGAAGGGAATTTTTAACAATATTCTATCCGTGGGCTCCGTCAAGTTAGCCCCCCCACATTCGAATTTTCTAAGGAAATTGCAACCACTTACTGTGCTCGAAGTATGCTTCACTGTGCCGATGATATTTTAAACTGTGCCGTTCCATTACCAAGGTTATAGGAAAAACAAGATGAGGGCTAACTTAACGCTCAGCCCCTCAAAAATTTTGGAAATCAGATCAAACAAAAATGGATTCTTATGCAATCTGAAGTGTGATGAACTGTGCTGTATCAGGTTTTTCTCAAAATTTTCTTATTCGGTCATTTTCCGACAAAATCCTACTGGGAGGCTAACTTGACGCTCAGCCCCCCCAAAAATTTGGGAATCAAATCAAACAAGAATGGATTATTATGTAATCTAAAGTGTGCTGAACTGTGCTGTATAAGGTTTTTCTCAAAATATCCATATTCGGTCGTTTTCCGACAAATCCTACTGGGGGGGCTAACTTGACGCTAGCCCCCCAAAATTTTGGAAATCAAATGGAACAAAAACGGATTCTTATGCAATCTGAAGTGTGCTGGACTCTGTTGTATCAGGTTTTTCTGAAAATTTTCTTATTCGGTCATTTTCTGACAAAATCCTACTGGGAGGCTAACTTGACGCTCAGCCCCCCCCCAAAATTTTGAAAATCAGGTCAAATAAGTAGCCCCCCGAGTCGGATTTTGTCGGAAAATGACCGAGTGTGGAAGTTTTGAGGAAAACCTGATACAGCACAGTTCATCACACTTCATATCACATAATAATCCATTCTTGTTTAATCTGATTTCCAAAATTTAGGAGGGGCTGAGCGCCAAGTTAGCCTCTCAGTAGGATTTTGTCGGAAAATGACCGAATAAGAAAATTTTCAAAAAAACCTGATACAGCACATTTCAATATTGCATAAGAATTTATTTTTTTAAAATCTGATTTCCAAAATTTGGGGGGGGGCTGAGC